TTGACGATGGAAGGTAGCATTATAGAGTAATGGGAGGGGAAGGAGGACTACTTACAGCCCTTCCCTATGGGCATGGTTATGGGCCGTGAGGGTGGCAGGAACTATTTAGTTGCGTTTTGAAAGGAGACTCCTGGGAGCTATGAGGGACTGTATGGGGAGGCACTAGAAGCTTTTGGGGGGATAGCAGCATCTGGGGCAAGGAGGGGCTGCGGTGTTATGGGGAGGGGGTTTTAGGAGCTGAGGGCACAGTTGAGGTGTGGGGGTGAAATGGGTATGAGGGACTGCATCTAATAGGGGTAGCGGAGGGCTTCATGGGGTGTAAGAGAGATAGTGAGGGGTCAGAGGACTGGGGTGTGATGGGGAACCAATCTGCAGTGGATACTTGGGGCAGGTAGGGGCCAGTGGGGAGTAAAAGGGATGGTGGAGTCTGAGGCTTGGGGCATGATAGGGTGAGGTTGAACATTGGGAGGGTTATGTGAGTTAATGGGACAGATAGGAGCTGCAGGCAGGAACAATGTCTAAAGGGTGGTGAGGGGCAATTTGGAGCCATGGAGGAGTGTCTGGGAAGACCCTGTTATGGGGGTGCAAGGGGCAATTCTGTCTCTGGCTGGTGGGTAACAGCTGTACATCCGCCCCACACACACACCCCTTCTCCAGCTGGCAGTCCAATTGTATTTGGCTTTGGTTTTGCTTGGTTCCTAAACTTATGCTAGCTAGGCTTGCAGCATAAGTAAGAAACTAGAAGATAATTGGAGAAAAATGTGTGCTGATGCACAATAAGGCACTACACCAGGGGCGAGCAAAATGCTGCCTGGGGACCGGATGCGGCCCGCCAGGCCATTCTATCCGGCCCATGGGGCCACTAAAAAATTTAGAAAATTAATGTTTATCTCCCCTGGGCTGCCTGTCATGTGGCCCTGGATGGCTTGCCAGAAGTCTGTAAGTGGCCCTCTGTCCAAAATAATTGCCTGCCCCTGCACTACACCATATGCACTCCCTTTTCAAAATCCTGGATCCACATGTAGTACTACCCGAGTCATAAAGTTGTCCTTCGGTGAAACAATGGCACCTACTCTGATCCCTCAATCTCAGAGCACCCATAAGATAAAAAAAAAAATGTGTTTATGGTAATACATTTGTTTTAAATCTTTGTAAACTCAATTGTTTGATGTGCATCTTAAAACATTTTCTTATCCAGTCTTCCCACCCCCAGAGTCATGCTGTGTTTACCTTGAACATGTATTAAATAAAACATTTACGTCCGAACTACATTTAATTATAAAGCCATTTTAATGCAACTTTCTTGTATGAAAACAGTTACAATTTTTAAGATCACACACTTAGTGATTGAAACCTAAGTGGCAGCCAGGCAATACAATGCCAAAACCATTGTGAAATCTACAATACTAACACAATATCCTAATATAAATTTTCTAAGTATAAATGTAAACTCCTTGATCAGTCTTGAAATATCCAAGTATATTCAAGCTAAAGTCAGATTTCTGTTAGTAAGAATTAGTCTGCAAACTCCAGTTTAATTCAGATAAAAATGTTATTGAGTACCTCACCAATACTGAAAAATGCTGCACACCACTTGCTTTTAAGCACACCAGCAGCACCACAAATAAGCTATGGCTCAAACTTTTTGTCTAGCTGGATTGCTACAGGCTACGTTCTTTGTATTTTGTTTAAGTGGCACCATTGCTGAGTGTCTTGTGTGGCTTTGTCTTCACAACAGAGGCAGTGATAGCTGTAATGTAGCAGGGCTCCCTCCTCAGGGATGCCTGAGGAAATGTGAGCTCTGCCCTTAAAACTGAGAAGTGGGATATTCTGATTTAAAATTCATTTTGATTCAGCCTTAGTATTTAATCTGAATTCCAGGACCTGGAGATAGTTGATCCCTTGTTAACAGAGGCACACTGTAGACCAGTTGAATAGCAGTGTTTTTTAAATGCCTACTAGCTTATAGAGCCCATTAAGGAACACTGTCAGGTCCTGCTGAGCATTTCAACATCTAGGTGTTAAACTACCACAGAGGTGTGTGGCTTCACAGTCAGTATTAAGGCCATAAATGTATACCAAGAGCAAAGTATTTCAAATAAATGTAGAAGAGATTTGAGTTGGACCTATTAAACTACAGTCCATGTGATCTTATTTGCTCTAACAATGACTTTGAAGTATTACACTGAAAGTGAAACTGTCCTCTAAAGCAAAAGTCTAACCACTTGGGAAGTCCCTTTTCAAAGCATATCCCAATTAAAAAACAAAACAAAACTCCCCTCCTCCAACACTTCTGTTATTGCACATCTCACACAAAGTTGTGTGTGTGTGTGTGTGTGTGTGTGTATATATATATATA